GAAAAATGTAAAATCCTAGTTACACTTGAAATTGTTACCATAACATCCATCTACCTTCCAAAAATATTTATGTAGATTTCACAAAAATATTTAATCTCCTGATTGACTGTCATCTCATAATAGTGCTTAGTTCCTGGTCCTCTTAAGCTTTGTGTACTTAGTTTAAATAAAGCAACAGGCCATATTTCTAAAGCACAGTGAGTTTTTTGTTTGGAATGTGGCTGTAGGGTCTTACTTCACCTAGTTTCATGATGTGTTATAAATACCATTGAGGTTATCTGTTCAAACCTCCCCCAGCTCTTATCTCAGCATTCACAAGTAGCATTTTTATGGGATGAGACTCATTTTGGTAACAAAATGGAAGATCTTATCAATTCTTGACGAGATTTGTTTTTACAAGCCTCAGCTGTGACAGGTTACTGAAAGGTCTTACATTCCAACTCTCCGACTACATGGCTGTGTTTGCCCATATCCCACTCTCCAAGGGCCAGGTGTGTTGGAACTCCCTAGGTAAACACTGGGAAGGTGCAAGAAGGGATGTTTTGCATACCAGAGGCACCGATCTGTGCAGCTGATGGCTGCCTCTCAAACTTTTGGACACTTGCTCAAAGATTGTCGTGTTCATGGAACCTTATTTTCCATTTCAAAGATTGACTGGCATCAAAAACTAGCAGCGCATGGATTAGATTAGTCATAGTGGTGGTTTGTGAAGTACTCGTGAAATGTTCTTGATGGCAGATTGATGTCTTGGGAGGAAACTGTGCAGCATTCCACACTTTCAGCCATGAAAACATAAATTATGTCAAGAGCCCTGTGTTTCCCTTTTTTATGGCTGTTTTTTGTTGTAATATTACCTTTCTAAACTCACAGAAGAATGTGCACCTGTTTTTCCCCCTGGATTTATAACTATATAAACTTAAGTTAAAAAAGGTCTTTTGTCTTAAACTTTTTCAGATTTTCTTCATTTATCACGACAAACGTTTATGTATTTTAACAGGATTTTGATCTAAACCATTCTAATGTGATCATCTAGAGACATTTATTTTCGTATCACATCATAGGTTGAATTGAGTTAAAACTATTTGAGTGACTACCAAAATAGTTTTCATTATGAGGAATAAGATCTAGAAATGTAAATTTCCTTTTTTTGTCATAAAAAAAATGACACAGGATTAAGTAAGGTTTAAAAGCTTTGGACAAGTCATGGAATTCATTTTGTTGTCTGTACCTATGCCAGGTTAACATTTCAAAATAATCCTCCACATTAGGATTTCTTGGCTTGTAGATTTTTGGGGGGATTTATTGAAAGATTTTTTTCTTCTTAGATGTTGGTTATTTTCTGGAACGTGACTTTATTTTGTTTGAGTCGAATGGATTAGATGTGATGTTCATGTCAGTAATTACTGAGGAATCTATCACAGAGCTCAGTGTTTTTAGTGCACAGTGTGCACAACGTTTCTGTGACAAACAGTTTAAAAGGGAAGTCATGTTGGTGGAACAAATAACTGAAATGAATCCCTACCTGTTTGAGCAGTGCAACATGGAGGGGAACTGGTTGTTTGTAAAACTTTAATTCTACATTAGCAAGTCAACCTTGATTTTTCTAGACAAGTCTAGTTTTTGCCTTGTTTGTAATTTATGGATGCGTTTCCTTCCCGAAGGAAAAAAAACATGGAAAAAAAAAGAGTTGAAAACTAAATTGAATAATTGAAATAAGCAGATGTGGAAACAGCTTCTAAATTGCTAATGAGTTCCGCTTCAGAGATGTGACATTGGAGCCCGTGGTTAGTCGTGACTGCTCAGTAACACACAGGTGAGGAGGACCTATGTATAATATGCACTGTTGAATTTCATACTCCTATGTTGGACTGATCTGCTGTGTAAATTGCTCCTCTTTGAAAACGTGAGGGATTTCTTTTTCAGTTACAAGCAGATCTAGTCCGGAGCTATCCATCATCGTTTAGCTTGAGTCAGACCACTGGCGGTCTGTGCTTAAACCCTTGCAACATATGATTTTGGCTATGACTAATAGAATATCTTCCTCTCTTTGTTTGAACAGTGCATACGTGTACATGTAGTCTCTGTGCAGCATGTACGAGCGCGCGCTTTATCGAGAGTGAGATTGGCTGGGAAACTGGTGGTGCCCTCCTTCCCTTGCAAGCAGTGCTGAGTCAGATCCAGGAGTATATAATTACACATGTGCGCCCATCAGCAGTCTGAAAGTCATCTTCCTCAGCGCACCCATCAGTGTAAACTCCTGCACAAGCACGGCTCACCCTGCAGGGCAAGCAAACCTCTTTTCCTGAGCCGGGCTCTCTCTGGGCTACATGCAGTCCTTTATTATCATTCTCACCATTAGCGGCTGGCTCCGGGGGCGGATCCATGAGTCAGCGCAAACAAATTCCTCATCTGTAATGCGCTTGCCTTCTCTTAGTTTCCGGGGTGAAATGAATGCTGACTGCCAAACCAGATAGGAGTCTTTTACCTGACAGGATGAATAATAAAGTAATACTTCATTGTTCGCAGGACTGTGTAAACTCTTGTGACTACGCGCTCACAGTAGTTTATCTGTAATTAACTTTTAATAAATTACAAATGTTTCTTCAGATACATTTTGTTATCAGAGCTTAATAACAGCAACACGCTCCACTTACAGCAATCCCAAATAAGCAAAAGTGTATGATATTTTCATTAGTGATGTAATGATCACTGATGAAACTAATGAAGTTTAAAAATAAACTGCGGCTTATTTTTAAACTTTGTTGGTTTTTTTAAACAACAAAAAAAAAACGAATCTGATTTTTCTTGAGCACCTGTAATAAACAAGAGTCAAATATTTTTTTTTCTGCCTTCCTGCTGTAAGAAGTAACTAATAATTTGAATCAGAAGCATAAGCAATGTCACGCTTGTTTTTACAGTTTAGCACAGACTAGCACATAAGTACGGCTAGCACATGAGTAACCCTCATTACTAATAAACAACGCAATGTCAACCCATTCTTCAACCCTTGGGATTTTCAAAATGCAGCCAACATTTCTAAGTGAGGCATGTTACGTAACAGAGAGTAGTTGAATATTTAAAACAATGAAACCAATGAACTTGTTGTCATACTGTTGTCCTTCCTGTTATGTGACGAAGATTTTGCTCTCAGCCTAAAATAAACACTGACTTACCTCTGTAGAAAATGCAATTTATCTTAAATAGCTTGTTGTACTTTTTTTGTTGTTGTTGCCTTCTCTAACTAAATTTTTAAATATCTTCTGGAATGAGGTACTTACATTTCTTCTTCCCTCTGTAGCTGCTTCTAAACTGAAAAGTGTTGTCAGATCGGTAATCTCTCGTTCCTTCTCTCTTGTGGTTCAGGATAAGGTAATGCAACTTACCAAAGTCTTACCAGCCGTGAAAGTAATGCTACTCATTCATAATGAGTGGAAATTCACACAGAGTGCTTATGTACACTTTCTGACTGCAGTGGTAGTGACAGCTAGATTTGATTAGCAGACTGTCTAGCGCCCTGCCTCATGGAAAGTTTTCCTTTAACCCTTAAGCGCTCATCATCAGTCTAATCATCAGGTATTTGCTCAGCAGTTGCTCAGATTATTAATGTAAGGTAAATCATTTTAATGCACATTTGGTGTTACTTTGGATCTATATGACTCTGGTACTGCCGGCTGCCCCATTCATATTAGTTTAACAGCTAAGGTGCCCCCTGCATTCATTTACCCCTTCTGATCCTTATATTGAGATTGCACACTTGGACGAGGGATTTATTATAATGTAAAAGACTGAGTACAGGCAAAAAGATCCCTGTGTGCATGTTAGATGACAAGAGCCATTTCAGATTCATTCATGCTGAGTCATTAGCATGTCAATGGAGGAGAGACATAAGCTCACTGGGGACACTTTCAAAGAGCTTGCCAGTGACGAGCAATTGGAGTTACTTCTGAAAAGCAACTGCCAAAGATGCCATTAACAAAAACACCTTACTCGTCAGGTGCACTGAAGCCTCAGTGAAGGTTGCATAAGCAGAGCATCCACGCTGTCTAATTAACAAGCAGCGTGTCTGAAGAGCGTGCCGCAGCCTGGCCCTGCCATGCAAAGTTATTAAGTTTTAATGCCACCCAATAGAAGCCCTCAGATCTTGTATCTACTTTCCTCACATGCCCAATGGACCACTCCCTGCTCCCTGCCTGCAGGTGCCGGATCGCTGCAGTGGAGGCCTCCTTGTCTGGCAGTTAAAGTGGTTGAGAGGAAAAGGAGGCTCATGGAGAATAGAAACCGTTTCATTTGACATGTTGGGGAAGAAGACAAAATCATTAGAGGTTAATGCACAATGTTAGGCGAAGTTTGAGAGTGTTATATAAAGTGAGTTTTATCCCAGATGCCTTCAGAGTGTACCAAGGACAACTGTATGTTTTGTACAGGGATTAGTCCGGCTTAGAGCTGCAGGCAAGTTTTACTTTTCCGAGGACACCTGATGTTTTTAAATTGAATATTTGTAATTTTTTTTAATCACTTAAGCTTTTAGATATGCTGTAGAGGCCTTGGTCGATTTAAGGTTCTTATAATATGATAACCTTGGTTGAGAATATTAACGTGGCATGGTATTAAAGCAGAGTTTAAAAGTAAAGTCTGAAACATGATTTAATTGCTGATTTCAAAACAGTAAGTAATCCTATTGCTGCTAAAATGAAACAGCATATTGGTTTTTGCAGTTCTGATATCTTTACCATTTATTTATTGATATTTAGAATTTTATACTAAGCAGAAATATCGATTAAACACTGTCTTCTATTTATCGGACATGCAACTCATACCTACCCAAGAGTAAAACTGCACTACCTTATTAAGGATGGTGGGTAGCACTCCATGACTATGCTTTTATTAGCTTTTTTTTTTTTTTTTTTTGCAACAGGAAATATTTACAAGTTGGGACTTTTCTTTTTGTTCTTGTTAGCTTGCCCACGCCTGACACAGTTTCTGCATTTTATTTCAGTTACTGTTCCTGCAAAAGTCTATGCTCATCAACTCTTTTACATAGACTGCCGATAAATAATATGAGAGATTTTACTTGTGCTCTTGTAAAGGTCTAATCCACATGAAAATATGCTTGCTTGTGGACCAAAGCATTGGCATGTGCAGATGAAAGAGGAGCTGTATAAGAATGCAAAACAGGAGGCGAGGCAGGATAAAAAATAAAAAAATAAAAAAAAAATATCTGTTCTTCCTTTTATCACTTTTATCAGTGGTAGAGTTCACTAGAATAGATGTAAATGTTGGCATGACAGACGACTCAGCAATGTCAGAAGTCACAAAAGACGCAGTGCTCACTCCCTGGTGTAGAACCAGAGCAACAATGTCTGTGCAGTACAAATGAGCCCACGCTGCTTGGTGCCAGTGTGTTACTGGCTCTTTGAGTGATTGTCTTTGCCAATATGGAACAGAGTGGCACAGAGGCAACAGCTTCTCTAAGCACTGCCCATTGTTCCTTGACATCAGTATCTATCTTATTATAGAAACTGAAATCAGACTGGGCCAGGACTTTATTTGCTCCGCAGATCCCGATAAGGATAGCCGTTTGCCTGCGCTTGATTTGTTGTGTTTTTGTGTCCGTCTGTGGCAGTGTGTGTTGCGCACTCTGACCTTTACTCCCTGCAATTTCTGCTCACACTTGTGTTGCTGCGGAGATAGCGCCACAATCACTCTGTGCTGGAACAGCCTCTCGTAAAGATAGGACTAAAATGACATGTGCACTTGCACATACAAACCTAAATACATGCAAGCCAACCTTTGACCATTTCACTAGCTCAAGCATGACGCAGGGCTGGGTGTTTTTTTTTTTTTTTTTTTTTTTTCCGCCACTTTCCACACCCAGTAAGCAGACTCTCATTGTAGCCGCAGGGCACTTACTGGCTACGACATATAAATGTGGCACATTTTTCTTGGTGCTTTTCTTAGAAATGGAAGTTCAAGGTAAAGATATGTCCAGGATTAACACACATTTGCTGACGTGTTTACAACTGTTGGTGAGAAAGATTTATTTGTTGTTTTCCAACAGGTTCTTGTTTGTGCTGGATGTTTGTCTTTAATAAAAAAAAAAAATTACATATCAAGACAGAAGATATTTGCTGGATGAATATAATTATGAACTTATTCCACATTAACTGTGATTAAAGAAACCGGTATCATTTTATTTACTATAAATCTGACAGCTAAGTATAAACAGTATTGTACTATCACGCTACGAGATATTTACATAAACTAATAATCGAATCAATGAAGATGTGGGGTACTTTTTTTTATAAAATTATATAGACATATAGTTGTATGAAAATGTTTTCATACTATTTGATTTCCTTCATGTTTTCTTCTTATGTTTTGTCACGTTGACTGATTCTTATCTCTTTCCAATTGATTACCTCATGTCAAATTTTACGTATACTTTATGTGATCAACAAGCACAAAGTGGACAATAAAATGTGCAAGGAAAATGGTAAAAAAAATAAAAAATAAATCATGTTAATTCCTCTTCACTCTTTGTCAGAATTCCTATACAACTGTGTGCTTTAAGAACTCACCTATCTAGTAAAAAATTGGGACTGGATATTTTGAGGGCCATCAATTTACAGCTCAACACCCCCGGTGTGCCTAGAGGGACACAGAGACAAGCAGAGTCATGCCTCGAGTGTCTGCAAGGCCACAACACCAAGCTCTGCTTTGAGTTGAATCACAGAGCAGCTGCTGGAGTTGTTACTGAACGCAGTCAGGCTGATGAAAGACACAAAGCGAGCTAGATGGATAGATGAGTGATAATGAGAGGGAAAGGCGTATGGCTCCAATCATGTTTTTGTTTTGCTTGTTTTTCCCCCATTATTTTTTATCTGTCAGCATTTTTATGCAGGTTCTTAGTTTGTCTTCCTCTCCCTTTTATCACACAAGTAGCATAACTTGTCAGCTTTCTTTCGTTGGTTGAACAGACAAGTTCCTCAAGTACGTCATTTCTTCCTCCTCTCTTCGCTTTGTCTGATCCTCAAGAGTGTGAGACTTGTAAGTTGTAAGTTGTTTCATGGTTGCGGGTTACCAGTTTCCCCCCAGCCCCCTTTTAGAAGATTTATGGGAGGTCAGCATAAAGACTTTCAGCTGAAACTGTGTCTTCTGTTGTGTGGATGGGTGGGGCATGGGTGAAAGTCATGGTGGGGGGGGGGGGTTACCCGTTGGAAATTGTAGGGTCAGGGCAACTTGTGGTTAAGGCATGGTTGTGGGAGGTGTGGACTGTTGCCATGTGAGTCACTCCGCAGTGTGAGTTTTGAATAACTTTTCATGGTTTGGATAAGCGTGAGCATGTGTGCTATGACTCACACCATGTGTGAACTACCTACAGCATGTGTTTGTTCATTTTTTAGCTTCTTGACAACTTTGGCATTGAGTGTTACACAATACAATTTAATACCAGAGGAGGTTTTGATTGAACAACGTTGGGTTCTGCATTATTCCAGACACTACCCCTGCCACTGTCACTATTGCAGGTAATTTAGGCCAGTGAACTACTCTGTTCTTCAAATATTGCATAGAGTAACTTCCCCTTCTGCCTATATCTGATCGGGAACTGACACGAGACTCCGGAGCTGTGTCAGCCAGGCAGACGTGTTGTTCTCAGTATCGTTCCACTTGTGACAAAGGAACAGACAGCAACCTGAGACCCACAGATCTGTTTCCTGTTAGTGCAGATGATCACATTTCAATAGCCAGAGGTACAAGAGCTAAAGATTGTGGGAAAATAACAATTTGAGCTGGGAGATTTGTTGTAAAGTGACAGTACCTGCTTCTTAGGTTGATAGTATATTAATTTAAATAATACCCTTGTTTCAAATACGACCTAATTGTCCAGAGATGTTGGCTCTTTTGCGATTTATAATTATTTAATGTCAGTACTACTGCTTAAAATTGCAACAAATGATGGCACATTTCAAGGTTCTTTCTTTACCTATGCGCAATTATTACAAAAGCCCACAACTCTTTGTGTCAAATGTATTCCACTTCACAGTTATGAACTAATCTTTGCTGGTCTGTCACATGAAATTCAGATCTGATATCTACACTGAAGTGTGTTTATTTTGAAACATGCAAAAATCTAAGGAAGCGATACAAATGCTTGTTTAAAACTCAGTAAACGTACATTTTTAAAAAGCTCAAGGCTTTGACTTTGAGGATTCTACTGCAGATGGCTTAAAAAAACAAAATGTTTCCCTACTGCTGTCTTGTTTTCTTGAACTTACAAGAAGCCTCACCACTGAGGTGAATGATTGTCTACACCCACTTTATGGCATGCAGATAGGGTTAATTATATATTACAGCAACTCACACTCTGCTCTCTCTCAAAAAAAAAAAAGGTGGACGTGTGCTGTTGAAATTTTAACTTTTTGATATCTGATAAGCGCTCCTCTTTCAAATCACATATCCTGCAAGATAAAAATTGCCCTCCCCTCCATCCCTCAACTAAATTCCTTTGGCGTGTGATCACCCACTAATGTCGCCTTCTTGTTTTCCAACGATCTCGTTCTGCTGGTTCAATCCTTGAGTCACACTGTTATTTTTTTCTGCATGCGGCATCGTATTGAGATGTGCCGTGCCGTGTTGCCACATCAGAAAGTTTATTGCTTCCCGGAGAGACTTTGTGTTTGGCATCTAAACAGTGGAGAGCAATGGTGGCGCAGGGCAACCAGGTCAGCAGTGGAGCAGGGGTGGGGTTAAGGGCTTTTGTTAAAGAAATCAGGAATTCTTCCGGCTGGAAGATGAAGTCAGTGCATTCCTCCGGAGCTGCTCCCAATAAGCAGCCAGTGGAGCAAAGCCACGCTTTGAATGAAGGGCAAGATAATGGTGGCGTTCAAAGTGAAACACCTCCCATTGAGAACCAGGGAGACAGAAAGAGAACACCATCTGTCTGACTGGCTGAGGAGCTCTCTTTGAGCCACCTGAACAGGAAAAAAACAAAATAAAAAATCCTTTGCCATGCCAAGTTCAGGAGACAAATGCCTGCAGCACTTCACTTTTTTAAATGCGCCCACAGGATTTATTGCTTTGTTTTGAAGTATTGCTATTAAAGTACCCAGAGACTGGATAGAGGCAGCGTAATGATATTTCTTTAGGTTAAACCCTCTGCTTGGGTCTGGAAAGTTACTTTGAATCCAGCTCTGGTCCTGCTGAGGCTAGTTGAATCCAGCGTGCACATACACATCCTTGTCTTTCTGCGGTTTTCTTCTCTCAACACACACATCCAAAACAGCCATGACTGGCTGTGCCCTTCCTGTCAGCTCCTCTTGGCAGCAAGCTATTATAAAAGCTTTGAAGGCAGGCAACAGAGCATTTAAAGTGGCTACAGGTCATCATTTGTGCTCGCAGGTCTACAAGTTACTGCTCTTAACAAAGCACTCGGACATAACAAAATCTGGCCTGACTCTACTAATACTTTGCCGATAGTCTTCAACCCTGTAAGTACAGTGACTCACAAAAGTATTCATCCCAACCACCAACACAAAGTAATAGGAAAGTGGAAGGTAAATGATTGATGATTTTCGAGATTTTTGAAAGAAAAATGTGAAAAGACAAGCATTCCCCCTTTACTTTGACACCAGTCTACATAGTTTTGTGCAACCAGCTGCTTTCCCAAGCCACCTATTTAGTAAACAGTGTTCACTGAGGTGTTTAGGTGCGTAAAACCACATTCTAAGCTTTTAGCTTTTTACAAAACACAGCTGAATCCATCATCTGGAAATAGGAGACATAGACTTCAATGTTAAGTGACAGACAGAGCTGGGAAAGCATTAATTAGAGAAACAGCACTAAACAGAATGTGCCAGAAAACAACCGTCATCTTGAACACTCCCATCAACCCCATGGTGAAATTTTATAGTAAATATAAAAAAAAAAAAAATTTTAGTGTGTAGCCAAAGCCAAAACAATAAAGCAGATGAAAGCATAGTTATGTGTGGGAGGTCCAGACCTAAACTAAATTAACAAGACTAGAAAACTGGTGTCTACAGTGTCTGATCTTGTGCTGCGTTCCAAAAAGAAGCAAACGTTTGAGTGCAGTGGTTTGGAAAACATTTAATCTTGATGGGACAAATGCACACCCCACTTTCAGTTTTTTATTTGTAAAAAAAAAAAAAAAAAAATCTTAACTACCACATATAGTTTCCAAATTATTGATGACTTAGTTGTTTAAGGGGGTTGAACTTCGCAAGTCACTGTATGTTCACATTGTTCATCGCATCAGATTTTGACATCACTACTGTTTGGTGTATAAACTTGCAATTAAATTCTATTTGTGACGTAGTTCTGTGTGTGATAGGTAACCTTCGGTCCAGTTTGTTTAGGCTGTCAACAAGTTATGTAACATGTTGGACCAAGATTACACTGTGATATTAGTTTGTATTGGCCGCTTACTTTAGGACATGGGATACTGATTCAGTCACACTAACTCGCCTCTCTCTCTGTTGTATTATTTTGCAGAGGGTCATGCGTCGGTAAAGCGTGACGAGCCTAACTGAGCTGATCTGCTTTGAGGACCATCTAACCGCTCAGCGTGTCCTGCTTGGTCCGAGATGGAGCTCAAAGTGTGGGTGGATGGAGTGGTGCGCGTGGTCTGCGGCCTGTCTCAGGAAACTTCCTGCCAAGATGTCGTCATTGCTTTGGCACAGGCCATTGGTGAGTACTTCAGCCGCTACAGTTATTGTCCTCCAGGATTTTGTAGCACATTGCATTTTGTATGTTTTTTTCTCTTTTTTCATAGTTTGTCTAAAAAGCCCTAGCGATCAGATGTTCCCTTTCTGCATAATGCAATTGTGATACAGCCGTGTGTTGTAACAAGTAAAGGAGAAGACAACCTGTTTTTCTTGCTTTTCATCTCTCTTCACTGACCTGAATCAAGTCCTTAACTGGATCTTGGATTTCAGCAGGGTGTCCATCCCTGTGTCCTCCGGCTTAATGCTAGCCACACGCTGCAGCAGCATTAAACAGCATCACTCCGCATTTAGACTCTCCTCCTTCTGTGAGTGAGCTTGTTGCCAAGTCATTGGGGAGTGTTTGCCCTAATTTCCAGATCCTTGTGGAAACTTTACTTTATCTGAATTTTTTTTTTCACTTGTTGTGCAAGTTGTATACATCCAACATTTTTTCCAAATCACACTGATAGAGATATCACTGTACTCATATGCAGTATGAATCAGATAATGCTCAATGTATTGCAGAAAACTAGTGCAACTCACTACCTTAAGCTCATCTTACTCATGGTAAAACATGGCAGTAGCAACTACAATGGACTACTAGAAATATTTTTTTTGAGGAGGGACAGGATAGTAAGAGTTGGTGGATGGAGAAAAATACAAGAGGAATCCTGGAAGAAAATCTTTCAGAGGCTGCAAAAGACTTGTGACTGTGGCAGAGATTCACCTTGCAGAGCGGCAACCCAAACGTACAACCAGGACTACAGAAACAGAGTGGATTAGATCAGAGGTGACCACCTTCAACTCTCAAGGGCTTGTGTCCGGCATTCTTAAGACGTCTCCATCTTTTAACACAACATAATCAAATTAATAATTCATTAACTGGTTTCTGTAGAACGTAATGACTTACTGAGGAAGTAACTCAGCCATTTGAATTATCTGTGTTGGATCAGAGACGCATCTAAAACATGCAGGACACTGACTCTGGAGGACTGACTTTGTCACGTTGGATGTTGATCAAAGCACATCAATGCAATAAAATGACCTTTTCAAAGTCCAGATGTAACCTAACTGAAAACATACAAAAAAAAAAAAAAAAATTGGAACTGCACATTCACAGACTCCATCCAATCTGACTGATCTTAAGCTTTGCGATTTTAGGCTTTCTCAAAAATCGATACAAGATAAAAGAAGCAAGGGAATATCTTCCTCTAATATAGAAGGGTTTTAGTAAAATAATAATGCTTCTGTGCTCAACTCTCTGTCTTTTTGTCTTTTTTTCCAGGTCAGACTGGTCGATATGTTCTTATTCAACGTTTGAGGGACACTGAAAGGCAGCTTTTGGCTACAGAGAGACCCCTGGAGTCTTTGGCTAAGTTGGGCCAACATGGCAACGAGGTTCAGTTCTTCCTGCGGCGCACTGGCCCCAGCAGCAGTGATGGTCCCAGTTCAAAACAAGAAAGACAGTCTCCTCTTCCACTGCCCAAACATCCTGAGCCAGAGCCTCTGAAACGTAACCAACCTAAGAAAGCGCTAACGTTTAACTTGGGGCCATCCACTTCCCCAAAGACTAAACCCAAACAATTTCAGAGGTCTCCAAAGGACTCATCAGAGCAAAGAGTCTCTGCATCCCCCTCATCTAGTCCTGTATCCCCACATTCTCCCTCACCTCCTATTGGACCTTCTAAGGAGGAAGTGTTTAAAAAGATCCTTCAACAACAAGAGAGACTCAGAGCCATAGAGGGCCAGCTTGAGGTCCTAGAGAAGGAGTCGCCGTATCGTCCATACCCTTCTCCAAGCCCCTCACCAGTATCAGACTCTCACTTGCAAGAAGAGATCGATGCTTTGGAGCAAACAATGCGGAGGAACCATGCTGAGCTCACCCACGAGCAGTACTGGGAGGAGGAACTTCAAGTGGAGGTGGACAAAGAGCGAGAAATGAGACGGAAGCTGACGGACCTGCACGCCAAGCTGGACGACTGCGGGCGGCGGCTGCACGACTTCTCTGTTCGCTCTGCCCAGCTGGAGCAGGAGATCCAGAGGGAGAGCCAGACGGCGAGCAAAGCCAGCGGGGTCAAGGAGTCACTTGATGCTGTGAAGGCAGAGCTACGGATCCAGGAGAGGAAAGGGGTCGACTTTGAGGAGCAGGTGTCAGAAGCCGACAAGGCCCTGGAGAAGGCAGAGTCTCTGCTGCAGGTAAGGAGAGAGGTGTTGGTTTTGGAAAAAGGACTATAAATTCATGTAGAGGGGTTAAGATATTCCTCACATCAATCTGTATCCCTCTCCTACCTGCATAATGCTCCAGACATATAGCTGTGAATATACAAAATAGAGAAATATGAGTTCTGAACAAAAGCCGATTGTTTTATCAGTATCTCTACACGATTATTGGATGCTCATATCTTCCTTTTCATGGAAGTGTTGTATTTATACTCAAGCTAAACTGGTTTGGCAGGTATCACATTGAATGAAATTCATGTTCTAAACTCATGATTACTCAAGTTGTTTACACTATATTTACATGTGTGTGCCTTTGGTTGTACGGTCTGTAGAACATGGGATTAAAAAGAATTTATTTGGATTACAAAAACCCCTTTCATTGGATTTACTTAACCTTGACACATTGTTGTGTAATGTCTTATTTGTTGACTTTGAGTCATTGGCACAGGTGACCTAATAAAAGCCTAACCCAGCTTAAAGGCCAAGTTGAGCTTTGTCAAGGCCCAGAACCAACCCAGTACTCATGCAGCATAGAAAATATGCATTGAACATGTCAATATTTGACCCTCTTTTCGTAAAAGTACCACCGGATGTTGTTTATGAACCATGTAATCCTCAGAGCAGAAACAACACATTTTTTGGGGGGTTTCTAAATGAACTTGTGAATAACGAAGAGGAATCACACAGGAAAAATAATTCCTAAATTCTCTGAGCAGTTTGTCAGCCTGTCTAAATTTTCTGCGACAGACTTCGAGGTGCTTTTGCGTCTGCAGTGGAGTCTTCCACAGACAATGTGTGTAAATTCTGTGTGTATAGTCGCTGCAGTGACTGTATTATTTACTGTTAGCGTTTTTTTAAAAAAAACTGTACCTGCTAATTCCAGATTTTTCTGCCAGTGATCCTCATCTGATTTTTTTTTTAAACTCCTGTTAGAAACTTTGCAGCAAGTTAAAGTGAACCAGGTTTGAACTTAGTTGGTTTAGGCTGGAATGATATTCTTTCCCCTATCAGATAGTGACTTTACTGGTTCTTACTGGAAAATTCTGCATACTTTGAGAGAGCTCCACATCAATATTGAAGAACCTTTTAATAGGCCATCAATTTGCACTGGTATGGAGCAGGACTGCTTAGTAAATATTGACAGATCTCAGTTATTCTTGGCTTTCTGAGCCTTTTTGCACTTTCCCTTTTTTGTGCATTTCATAGTTACTCTCTGTGACATTCCTGCCTAGAGCACATAGTTTAATTTATCGCTTTTTAAAATATAACTGTATGTTCATATTATTTAGATTATTAGCCTATTGGAAATATATTTACTGAAAAAAGGTTACTGGGAGGGAACGATATGAACCTTTCGTGGTACGGTGAAAAAATATTTAAAAAGTAGTAGTAGTAATAGTGAAGTAATAGTTTTAGAAAATAGATTAGTTTTAACTTATTTTATCAGAACCTCACAAAAACTGCTCTTACAAAGAAATCTTATCAAATAAGACTTTAATTGATGCTGTCATGAAACCAACACAGTAAAAAACAACCCCAAGCTTACTATTAGTTTTTAATGTTAAACATCATCAATTACAGTTAATCATTTTTACAATAAGTCATACTTCTTGTTACATTTTTTTTTTAGATAACAATAAATTATACAATAATCAACCATCATTTCGTGAGACGTTTCTTTCCTTTCTGGTCCTTACTGTATGTGCTTTTCACAAAATGTATGGCAGTCAAAGGATTAAAGAAAAATGAATTCCATCTTCATGATAGCTTAGCAGAAATGAGAATGGTTAGGTTGAGTCTTGTCGGAAATTTGAAGCAGAAGTTTTTCCACTATGTTATGGGAAGCTGATTTGACTTTCAGTCTGAGAGCCTTTCAAGGCAAAATCTGACATATTTACTTCTTAGTTAAAAGGACCAAGAGGAACTGTGTGTCATAGACTGTCACAGCACTCTACCCCTGATTTACAAAGGTACCTGTGATATAGAGAACAAAGATTAGTTTTTATTTTATACAGGTTGTTAAAACATCAGATATTGTACTAGCAAACAGCACTGCACGTGTAGAAGGACAAAAAAAAAAAAAACATATTGCCATGCCTACAGTAATTGCCAGAGAAAACAGGAAGCCTTCACTTCCTTAAAATGTTAACACTTCTGAACATAAAATAGTACAAGAAGGCTGAGTCCATTTTGATGAAAAAGATCTTGTGTCACTCATCCGTCAGCGGAATGGGTTGAGGCAGCCAGCAGAGCGTTAAAATGTTGCCGGTGATGAGCACAGCGTTCCTATCATCGGGCTAATGGAGGCAGACCTGCAGGTGTGAACTGCCTCAGCAGGCTTTCTCAGTCCGACATCAATTATCCAAACACACACACACACACACACACTCACTCACTCACGCGCACATATAGGCCAGCGAAGTGGAAGGGAGGGATGTCCTGCAGATGCATACTTTTGTTTTAGTCAATTAAAGCAGATTGACATCTTGCTTGTGTGCATTAAGGTTCATTTTGTAAGCATGAAGCCGGCTGTTATTCAAGAAAACCTCAGAACTTTATGTTTTCAATAACGTTGGTTGGTAAACATTGCATTGATGTGTAAATATGCGTCATGCTGTGTCAACCTGATAAAGTCAGGCAGTTATATGGCTCCGCTTAATGGACTGATAATTACCTGATAAGCAGTAATCTGCATCAGTGACTCGACTCGTTTTGATGTGTAGAGTCTGCTGCCCTCTTGTGGTAAATGCTGGAAGTGTTATTTTTTTTAATAATTGTTAAGAAATCAAACTGACCCAGTAAAAAAATATATATTTTCACGCTTGCCAGACACATGCGGCCAATGACAGCCCAGTCACATTTGATTTTTCTCCACCTTTGCCACTCAGGCTAAGCAGAACGAGCTGGAGGATCTGAATAAGGAGCTGAGGCAGTGTAATCTGCAGCAGTTTATCCAGCAGACAGGCGTCGTGCCGGCTCATACCCACTCACGCACAGAGCTGCAGGAACAGCTTGAACAGCTGGAACTGGCAGCAGGTAGTATGGATGCCACACATTCTGTGTATATATATATATATATATATATATATATATATATATATATATATATATATATATATATATATATATATATATATATGGCAAGTTGGCCATTTACTGAACATTTTTCGTCTCCCCCCCCCCCCCCCCCCCCCCCCCCCCCCCCGCCCACCCCCCGCCCACTCCCCCCCCCCCCCC